ATTCTGTGTGAGCTAGTTTTACATAATTATTTTCATGAAATGCATTCCACTAAATCACAATATCTATTGACCGGTGGACCCTGCTTTATGACCTGATCATGTGACCTGATCATGTCTTTAATGAAATGACCACTCAGATTATAAGGGGTCAGGCTGGGTTCCAGCAGAGAGAAACTGGACATGCAGCAACAAAGAGTGAGAGCAGAGGGTTCAAAGGGGCCCCGCAAATCATCTTGACCCACAAAATAACCGACAGGTCATTCCAACCATGTGTTCATTCACAAATTGACAGGAATTGACCTGCAAAAAATTAATAATTTCATTTTCATGGGCCACTTTTATACTCATTCTCAATGTCATCTTTGTTGTTTGTGTCTCTCCTGCGACATTTCTCCATTATTTAATGTTCAAAAAGCTCTTTATTTTTCTCTTACTGAAAATTAGCCAATACTAAGTGTGTGTTACATAGTGATGTCTCTATGTTACAGAAGTTAACAAAGGAGTCCAATGGAGGTGTTTCAGGCAGGGGGAGAGAAACTCCCTATGGAGGGATAACAGGGATGTTAGCCTTTGCAGACCATTTACATGCACAAAAACCTACCTAACCTAACACACTCCAGTACAATAAGTCAACCGGACCTGACCTCTGCCACCCTTTGGTCTTTTTTTCCTGAAGTCCTACTACTATGTGAACTCCACACAACAATGAATAGCTTAGAGGCCAAAATGTGTCAGAGCGGCCCCTGACAGCTGACCCCTAAGCCTCCACAGATGCCTTTTTGGAACACATCTCTGCACATGTCTCCGTGTCCCTGTGAGTGAGTGAGTCTTGACTGCTGTGAGGGGTCATACATGTTTCATGACATCCCTCTGACTGACTGACTGAGATTACATGCATGACCACGGATGTACGCTCACCGCCCCCCCGCTCTGCTCAGCAGCTCCACCACCGTTCATCCAGAGCTGGCCTGTATAGAAAGGGGCTCTTCCCGCACTGCCTCACTCGATAATCCATATTCATACAGCATTTTGTATGAATGGGAGCGAGCAGGCGGAGCAGCTAAGGCCAGCTCCACCAGCTCTGATATTTGGGGAGATTCCGCTGTAATTGATCTGGGGAAGGCGTCTTTAATCTGCCAGAGGAGGGCCTAATTATTCCGTTGCCTCAATCAATGTCTGATTGTTCTGCATGATGTGGCATGACTCAGCGTCGGAATAATGATTTTTTAATCGTTTCAAATTAGATGATGGAATTAGACAGGAATAAGATTTCCTTATTCTTATTCAAATGAATTGGAGATGTACGTATGGTAATGGCGAATTATGGAGAACTCTTTTGTGTACTTTGGACTAGGACAACTTTCATGTTCTGAGCAAGGCCTCTCACTTATAAATGACATACATGTCAATGGCTTTAGTTTTACAGCATCATATTTGAAACAATAGTGTGTTTCCAGCCCTGTGGCATCATCCTGAGGAAGACCCAGTCCAGTTTCAACACGACTGCTGCCGTGCACCAAGCCTGCTCCATAGAGAACATGTGTTCTTAGATTGGAGAGACTTGACCGGCCTCCACCTCCAACCTGCAGTTTCATAACGCCAGTGACCAACACCATTAAACATTGACAAAGCACCGCCTTTGACATTGAATCGGTGGAATTGATAGACAAATAGAAACTCTACATAAAGTATTGGGGTATAGTGTGGTCTAATGGATAGTGAGGTGGGCTGAAGATCGGAAGGTTATGAGTTCAAATCCCGCCAGGAACACCACCACTAGTGTGCCCTTGAGTAAGGCACTTAGTCCTTAGTTACTCCAGGGAGAATGTCCCTGTAATTGGTAATTGTAAGTCGCTTTGGATAAAAGCATCAGCTAAATGAAATGTATTCTATAGTCTCATTTTATACATTTTAGAGTAAACGAATGAGGATCATTGTTTGAAGCTATTTCACAGCTCCAATGATGGTTGAGGGGTTATTTGTTCTTGTACAAAAAACTTTTAAAAAACATATTTGTTATCGATATATACATGATTGCAACTTTTTCCCATGTTCGGACAATTCATTTACAACAAAATTGTAGAAAAAAAGAGAAACGTGTTCAAGTGATTAACAGTGGAAATCACGGAAGTACACACAGCTTTTCATAATATACATATTAGTATCGACAACCATATGAGCAAATCAGTCCTTGGTCTCAAATCTAAACGATATTTTACATAAATCGCACAGAAATGTTGTACCAATACTTTTTTTCTGTACATGAAGTACTGCACATCTGTACATAGCACTCTCATACTTGACCACATTCCAAAGCTTAACATTTTCTTTTTTCTCAGCGCTAAAATCTTCCTCCTCAACTCCTCCTCATTATAATCCGACGGCACAAGTCAGCGCTTTTCATTCAACCGCACGGCACTTACTTAACTGCACGGAGATGCTCAGAAACCCACTTAATGTAAAGCGTGACCAAAACATTTTGCAAAGGAGTCGCCGACCTCTGTGGAAATAATCTCAGACTCACATTAACCGGATTCTCGAAGAGGTGCTTTGCAGTAAAAACCTCAATACTTATCTGTGATGCCAAAGTGATTTTTTGATATCAGTCAGGATCTCTGCATCTCCAACAGATCCATCGCTTTCACCCCATTTCTTCCCTTTCCAAACACCATGCGCAGGACTTGGAAACACTCGCAATTAGCGGCAGTGAAGCCAGCCTTCGTGTGAATCGCTGAGTGGCTCTTAATTATACAAGGCTTTTAAAGTTGTACGACACTCGAGGCCTCCCAAAAAAAAAAAAATCTCAGCAAACGGCCTGTTTTGCTAACTTTCCGGGCTTTGAAATATGGATGTAGCTGCTGTGTTTTCTCTAGAAGAGCGAGAGGCACTGCGATATAATCTGTTCCTTTTTGAAGTATCATGAAGAGAGGTCAGAGAAGATGCTTTATGGGTGTGCCAGTATGTGTGGACGCTCAGCACTCTGAGATATACATACTTATTTTATAAAGAGGAATTCACCATCATTTGCCCTCTAGATCTTACTAAATCTGCCGCTGTGCTTTTGCTGAACTTAGAGAAAGAGGCTGACTTAAGGTGCGGATGTTCCATTGCAAAAGGGAGCGAATCATGAGGCAATGGGCTGTTTAAATATGAATGAGTGTTGTGTGAATGCCTCTGCTGCGATATTTAGACAAGAACAGATCCCTGTGTGTTGCTCTGTTGTTAGCAGTAGCTCAGGGGAAGAGTGCTGCTGTTATGGTGTTTTTAAGAGTGGAAGCGATCAAATGTTTATGTCTAAGCAAGTGCCCGGGGAATCCTGAAGAAACAGTGGTCTATGGTCTCAGAGACTATTTCATCCAACATGGCTGACGGACAATCTAAGGGAATACTTTAGAATAATGATCCTTTGCTAACTTGTCTTCCATTAAAAGCTCAGCATGATTTGTAATACAATGCATGCACTCTCTCCTCTTCATCAGTGTCTGTCAATCATTGATGTGTCTATATCAAGCTCCACTTAACTACATCGTGCTGCAGAAATATCCACATCTTTGCATAAAACAAGGTTCGGGCAGAATGATGCTGATCATAGCAATCAATGTGGACTGTCAGTATCATCTTAGTCAATACAAGTCGTATACAAAAGGAATAGAACACTTATGTTCCCACAGCACTTCTTTCCACATTAAAGCATTTAAAAAAACAACTTGTGAATGTGATTATCCTGTCATATGGGGCAGTAGCTCAGTCTGTAGGGACTCTGCTTGGGAACCGAAACCCCTTTGCTACCTCTCTATTAGTGCATGTCTATGTGTCCTGTTTGTGAATGTGTGTATGTAAAGAACACCAAAGTGAAGAACCACATTTTCTGCGACCATTCTTCCTATAACACCTTTTTCTATACAAAGAAGACAAAAGACCATTGCTAAGGAGGATCAAGGGACTATGTGCAGTCATAGTCTGATAAATGTACCGTCAGCTGTGGAACAAAGAGTTTTTCTCCACCAGAAAACACTTTGGAATGCTTTTTAATATTCATTTGTGGAGGGCACAAAACGTTTGATCCATGATGGCTAAACTGTCCTTAGAAAAGAAAAGAAAGAGAATGCAAGAAAAGGAAAGCCGTCAAACGACAGAGCGCCGGAGGTTAGAGAAATCAACAGAGGAAGTAAACTCTACTTTGATCAGTGCTGCCATCCTTTTAAGTTATGTTGCTGCCATCACTGGCTGTTGGTACATTCCAGAGGGAGGTGGAAGCAACAGACAAGGACCTGTCGACCCGGAACGTAGTCCTTGTGGTTTTTATGACTTTTGCATCTCTAGACCTGAGACAGCGGTTGAAGATGTGAGGTGGAGGAGGTCAGAGAGAGGGAGTGGCCAGGTCTCTGGGGCTGAAGTGTCAATAGCTTGGTTTCAGTCACGTGACTTCTACGACGCGCGAAATTCAAGTGGAGGTCAGGAAGTGAAAACGCAATCATTCATCAACGCAGGAATCATGGAGGACACCGACTATGTCAAACAATTAAATGAACCTGCACGCCGCAGATATCGTGAAAAAATCACAACACACTCACAATGGTAAGAGCACCAGACATTAGATCACATGCCAATGTGTTTTTAGGTAAATGGTCAAATGTAACTAGTATTTAAGGGTAACAGTTACAAGAGATGGCTAAGCTAATGTTGGTAGCCAGCTAGCTTATAGACTTCTCCATCCTGCTTAAACTTAGCAAATATTCAATGAAAACATATTTTAAGTTTGGGGTTGCAAGTAACTTCAATCTCACAACTCTAAACGTTTCAATATATTCAATGTTGTAGTTAATTATACAAAACATTTCATTGTGATGGTAGCCGGGCATAGCTGCAATGCTAAATACTTAGCTAACGTTGTGTCTTGTAGGCTAACTTAACTGTTACAATCATTCCCCGAATTAACTTTAATGGCATTATGATTCAATAAATCCGGTTCACTTAAAGGGCTGATGTTGCGTTTGGGTCAACATCAGCTAACGTTTGGTTAATTAGACATTGCTAGTTTGGTTAGCTAAAGCTTCAACCTACTAAGCTAGTCAGCAATTTGTTAATGTGAGTCCACTGACAGCAGACAACGAGGTTTCACTACATTACATTTAAACATGTATAACGCGGGATAATAAAGACTTTGGTTCAATAATAATGTTCTACAACTACACTTTATTTTATCTTACTTTTATTTCTTTTGATCGTTGAAATGATTTTAGATGAACGTTATGCTCCATGTTTACACATTTGGGTGGTTGGAAATAACCCTGAGTCATGTTTTTGGTCCTTAAATGAAATACATAGATTTCAGTCATTTATTTTGAGGACAACATTATTCAGTATCTTATTTGCATGTTGCAAATAATACATATTCTTAGGATATTCTTTACATGTTATGCTGTATAGAAGGGCCTCAACTTAAACTTAATTTTTATTTCAATGAATGTGCTTAAAAATGGTTCTCTCCTTGTTGCATTATTATTTGCACAGTGGCAGCTCTTTAACCTGCATTACAGCACCTTCATATTCACTGACCACACTCACTAGAGGAAGTAGGGCTGTGTGATATATTGCTATCCTACTTCCTCTAGTGAGTGTGGTCAGTGAATATGAAGGTGCTGTAATGCAGGTTAAAGAGCTGCCACTGTGCAAATAATNCTTTCTAATTTACTATGATTCTTCTGGACTATTATATGTACCAAAGAATAAATCTGTAAATGGTTATATTGGAGTTACCGGTATGTACCACTCGACAGTCGTCTGGGTTAACCAGTAGAGTCTTATTTAACAAACTTACTAATTCCGACTTACCATCTACTTTCAACATATAACCTACATCCCGATGTGTTAAATGTGTGTGTTTTTCTAACAAATGACTTTCTGGAACTGTGTCCTATCAAACTTGTTGTTTTCTACAAATCACGACTTATAATTTACTATGACTTATTATGTACCAAAGAATAAATGTTCTGGATGTCGAGCGTATTGAAATGACGGTCCCTGCTCGTCTGTGACTGTCTAATCTTGTTCCGTGTCGTTATTGTGGCTTAGAACAGTAATTACGATCACGTTGAGGTGTGACCAAATACATCTATTTCACATATGTATACCCGGTCCAGGACGTAAACGTCTAGTACTTATAAAATGTATAGCCTGATATGGATCACTGTAGAAAGGGCTATACTTATGTTCTGTGTACTGCGATAAAAAAAAAACATAGAGAAGTGGAGCATACGACTTGTCGACTGATAAAGCGGGACCACTTTACTCGTCCGTTAGATAATCACTTTCGAGTCATTTTTATGGGTGTGATAGTCCCTGGTATAGCTTCGGGTGCCAGACGATCCTGGTTATAGAGGTCCATTCGTCTCAAAGCAAATCCTCGGTCCCGAGACATAACACTAGACAAATAGGTGATGAGAAGAGTGNTCTATCAATGGTTTAAGCTCTGACTAACTTAACTCTTCTTACGTTTCTCCTTCTTCATCCAGTCTATTATGTCCTATAACGGAGGGGCCGTCATGGCCATGCGAGGGAAGAACTGTGTGGCGATAGCAGCGGACCGGAGGTTTGGCATCCAGGCTCAGATGGTCACCATAGACTTCCAGAAGATCTTCCCCATGGGAGATAAGCTGTATATTGGGCTGGCAGGACTGGCCACTGATTTTCAGACAGTGTGAGTGTGTAGACCTCCACCTTGTTCTCTCAAAGTGGCTAAACAGTTGTGAACACCAGGGTACTATGATGACAGGATTGATTTACAACTCTATAAAGCTACAACTCTCAGATCTAGACTAAGTAAGACTTCTCATTTAGAGAAAGCCTGGAGTGTCAAGTACAATACTACACCTATAATGTTTATACCAACAACAAAAGTGTTGTAGTTGAATAGTATTACTATGCATTCTAATAAATAGGGGAGAAAACGTTATTAGAAATTCTGCTATCCATAGCTTTGAAATAAGTTACATTTGTGATGACTGAATTCAATGTAAATATCTGAGGATTGATGGACGTCTTTGCCAGAGGCTTAAATTCAGACTGAACCTGTACGAGCTGAAGGAGGGTCGCCAGATCAAGCCCAAGACCTTCATGAGCATGGTGTCCAACCTGTTGTACGAGAAGAGGTGAGTGCACTGAACTTAATATAGACCCATGTCCACATTTAAGCAGCTTACAGTAGGCACAAATACCTGCATAAATGGTAAATATGTCATGCTCTCATCAGGTTTTGGCCATACTACATCGAGCCTCGCCGGAATAGA